AAATAAAAAAATAAAAAATAAAAAAATAACCCCCCCCAACCTTGCACTCCAAACCCACCAAACAAGCTGAAAACAACAACAAAAAAACCCCAAACCTGAAGTCTTATCATGCTATTTATTTCTCCTTTGCTAGAAAAAGTGAAAAGACAGACAGGTGGTGTCTCACAGGATTTTGTCATGTGCTGGGTGCAATAAGATAATTTAGATTTTATTGACTAATTAAAAAACTCAGACTAGTTGGCCCTTCTGGTGAAAGTCATCACCGATAGTGGCACTCATAGTTTCACAAAAAGGAAAGAGAGCAGCAGCAAACTAAGAGATTAAAAAACATAAACATTATTAGACAAGGTGTGGTGGGTTGACCTTGGTGTCTGCATAGTTGTTTCTCTCACATATTCTCACTCCTCTCTTCCAGCTGCTGTTGCGCAGCAGTTTTTTTCTCCTTCTTAAATATGTTATCGTAGAGGCACTACCACCATTGCTGATGGGCTCAGCCTTGGCCAGCAGCTGGCACTGGCTCTAACTGACATGGGGGAAGCTTCTAGCAGCTTCTATCGTAGAGGCACTACCACCATTGCTGATGGGCTCAGCCTTGGCCAGCAGCTGGCACTGGCTCTAACTGACATGGGGGAAGCTTCTAGCAGCTTCTCACAGAAGCTACCCCTGTAGCCCCCTGCTACCGAAACCTTGCCACTCAAACCAAACACACAAGGTTACACCGGAATGATCTCTCTGGCTGGATAAAGGAGTGCAATAAAAGCTGACGTTTCTAGGATGCCTACTGGAATTTAAAACAGAGAAGTGATTGCATGCAACTTTATTAAGGGTTTCTTATGTAACCATAATGATCTCATGTATGACCTGAAAAATCACAAAATGTACAATAGCTCCCCATTACTAGGGAGGAGCTCAGGAAATAAATACATTGGTTTCATGATTTTTTTCTTGTTGATTAAGAAGAAAATTTTTTTGCTTTTCAGCAAAGATATCATAATCACCAAGATAAGGTTCCATACATGTGTTTATAAATAAGACACTTCAAAAGCAAAGACACCACTAAAATTAGAAATGGACACAGAAAAGACACAAATATTCTACACCCTTTTGTTTCAGCTGCAGGGGGAAATAATGATTGGAAGAGTTATTCAGTTAATTACTCAAAATTAGACAAAAATACTGACCTGAAAATAATACTTTAAGTTATACACATTGAGTTAGCAATATGACTATCATCTACCTTGGTGAACTAAATTAAACCATTTAAAATCCAACAATTATTATCTTTAAGAACTCACAGAACAGGAAATTTTGGATTAACAAAAGGCAAACTATTCTATCCAAGGATTCAAAATTTTTCCCAGAGGTATTTTGGCACAAATTATTAGACGTGTTTTAGATAAACACTTAAGGTTAGAAAAGCTCGGAGTTTAATTTTATCAATCAGATCACACTTCTACACTTGCTTGGAGAACTCCAAGGGGTTTGTAAGGCAGGATTATGTTTTATCAGAATCTTTAATGAGTCTTTCCTAAAATCATGTTTATTCAAATCTTCACTCAGTCTATTCTTCATTATAGTTTCTTTAATTCATCTGGTGCACACATCAGCTTTACAAGCCTTCAGGTGCAAGGGTTCCCCAGATCTTTTCTGGACTTTTTTTTCATGGGCTTTATATAGGCCTTCTTATGATCCTCAGCTGCCAAGGCAACTTTAAGTGGGAAGTTTCTTAATTCAATGTTTCACCCTCTAGTGGCTTCATAATGCTTTGTGAATGATATCCAGCGATTTGTTACTGCTTGTTTTGTCTACTGTACTGTAACCTCTCCTGAAGTCATTCCTATTTCAGATAGATCTTCTGATGAGATTCTTACCAAGAGGCATTCCCACATGTGAATCTACAATTTCTTCTGCAGCCAACACAGCTGCAAAAGAATTAAAATAATGTCGCTTCTCTACAATGACACCTTATTTGAGTGCTGAAAATATTTCCTGATCACTAACTTGTCCTACAGACACTTTGGGAGGCATTCATATTCTAAAATATTCAGGATTTATAACTTATTTTTTATATCTTTTGTGGGTTATTCCAAAAGAAACCACATTGGGTTGAACAACATGAAATAAGGCAAGATATACTTGGAAAAGACTGTCAAAATACTGACATATACATAAGATGTACCAAATTAATGGGCGGGGATGAGGATTCCACCTCCTCACACAGACGTTATTTGAAATATAACAAGATAAACTCATAAAGGCATTATGGATAGATAGCACCTACAAATACTTCCAGTACAGTTTAGTGTACTGTGTAAAGACACAGTAAAGATAACTTGACACTGCCAATATTCCTTCTCATTCTGTGAAACACATGAAAGAATTTACTACTCCAAAGATGGTAAAAACTCAGACTTATTGTAGAAAATCAAGCAAATTTAGTAAGTCTCAAAGGATTTTTATGTCTTTCCACTCTAGGCAACAGTGTTCAGCCTGTTAAGCTTGTTTTTTCTCCCACTGCAGAGACTGTGAGCCTGTTTTATTTACAGGAAGAGTTCAAATACAAAGTACTTACTTACTTAAATTTTAATTAATGCTCACCTTGTTAACATTATCTGGAACGTATCATAGCCAGCTATGAAAGATGCCAGTCTTGTCAAGCTCTGCTTTCCTGAGCCACCAACTCCAACTAAAAGAGCATTTCCACGAGGAGTGCGAATCACCCGAGAAATCTGTGCAAGATCAGAGTTATTTATTGCTATAACGTGTAAAAGTTACACATCCAAAAAATCCTATGCTACTGCAGTAATAAAGTTATATTAGAAATGCAGAACAAATGGAAATTTTAAGTTTTAATTAAGGGATTCTATACTATTACTAATATATTCTATGGTCATTTACACTTTGCAATATTTTCTGTAAACCTTCCAATAGTATAGCAACCACTTGATTCCATCACTATGAACTTTCAGTTATCAGTAGAATTGCATCTCACACTTCCACAAAGCACAAGTAAGTCTCAACTGTGATTTGTTACTGATGTGCTATCATAACATGACAGATTATTAAAATTGGGAAGGAAATAATAATTTCCCCAGTACCATACCCCCTGAACAACTTTAGTAAGACTCAGCTCTCCAGGCCCCTTCACTGTGACCAGAAAGACAAGTTGTCCCAGGTATGTTAAATTCAGGAGAAACAGTCTCCAGTATTCTCTGCAGCAGGTAATAATACTGCCTTTATAATCAAACTTCTTAAGCTTCTAGTTTACTTGATTATAAAAATGCACAACATCAGTATGAATATTTGGTCACAGTGGAACATCTCCCAGTTAGATCTCCTTTTTTTCCCCATTTCATTATTATCTTTTAAAGCAACTACTACTCCACATTTCCCTTCAATTCAGGACAATGCAATGTAAACAAAGAGACCCTTTACAATTCAGAGCAAAGAAATTTTCAGCACTAACTGTGAACTGCATGCAGCACCCATCCCACTGTCCACAGCCAAAAAACAATGCCAAGAAATCTGGACAGGTAGAAGATGTTACCTGCTGCTGAGAAAATATGCCTTAAAGCACAGGAGACAAACTTGCTCCACATCCCATCAGTTGCATGTGGACAGATACTCATAGTATACAGAAAAGCCTACATTAATTTCCAGAACAGCATGGAGCCACTTGCCTCTCGAAGGCAAGGTAATACCAACCAGCTGGTTAGCAGCTAGTCTCCTCTGCCCAAGCAATGATGCAGAGTATTGGCTCCAGTTCTCATTATTGTCTTGAACATTCCTCTAATGTCACTAGAATTGCATCATGCCAATAAGCAGCCTGGGATACCTATTTACTTGCCTTTCCTATAACATACTTTTTTTCAAGTTATTAAAAATAGTCATGTCAATTTCCTGCAGTTTTAAACCCATATATTTTATGTTTTGAGTGCAATGTACTTCTTATTTTAATAGGTTAATGTTTTATAAGCAAAGATAAAATCAAGTATGAAGGCTTACTCTAAGCGTACTTAGTATTTAACCAGAGAAAGAGAAATAGATTTGCACACCACCCTTGGAATATTGCTGATCACTTCAGTTATGGCTACTAGACCTTTTCCAGGAAGAGGCACACAAGCTGTAAATTGGAAGCTTTGTTCTCTGTTTAAGATATTCCTCAGCTTTAACTCATTCAAGTCATAGTACGTCAGCTCAGATCAGGCATTACCTTAACTGTGCTTACCTAGCTTTCTCTTAGAAGCTGTCTCAAGTATAGCTAACGCATAAAGCTCAGACCTGCACAGCTGTAAATACTGCTTTCAAGAATATGGGATCAGAGAAGCACTATACATTCATTTTATCCAAGTGAAAGTTAAGATGATGGTTCAGGTATTTACCATCTATCTACCCAAAGAAGACATTCCTGAAGACAGGTGGCTTTTCAGTGAGAAAAAAAAAAATTTTTTTTTTGCTAGATTCTGAATTTATACAGATTTCTTTACTAGGAATAAACCAGAAACTTGTTAGTGAGTGTGATAATGAATTAACAATTTTCCTAAAGAAATCCATAGCAGAACATCATCCATTTCACAGAGAAGATCTGAAAAGAAAGGGGCTAATTTTGTGAAATGACAAGAATCCACCCCAAAATTTTGAAAACTGTACATGCAATGCGTTTGTCAACTATAATTAAATTTAAATTGTTTTGATATTTATTATATTATTTGTTAGGATGGTACAATCCAATATTCAGTTCTTAATAATTTATTATAAGAAATACAGATAACCTCACTGTGTAACTGAGATACAATAGGGTTTTTAGTTTTTTTTTTTAAAAAAAAAAAAGCTTCTCCTTTGTATGAAGCCTATTCTGTGTGGACAATCCTATCAAGCTGTGCTGTGCTAAAAGTTATGGTCAGCTCCAATTCATATTCAAAGGAATTTTAAAAGAAGTGACCATACTATGGATCTACAAAGGAAGTTTGGACTATATTTATTCCTACTCTGCTGTGTCTGCTCCTTCATAAGCAACCAATTATGTCCTAACCCAAATTTCATTTGACTCATTCCAAAGAGAGGAGAATTAACAAGTTGAAATAGAGTTAGAATAGTTAGGACCACGATCCCACCAGACATAAAAGATAGATATAAAATATTAGTTCCATCTGGTGCATTTTCAGAAAAGTTGCGTTTTAATACCTAGTCACAGAGTGACAGACAAAATATTTGCTAGCAATAAATTACTTGCTTCTGTTTTAGAAGTAATTTACTTTGATTCATGCATACCTCCACTCATAGGTGCGGAGGGCAAGAGAACACCACCACCACCAAACGGCAATCCAGTAAGACTGTACCTTGACTAAATGAATCATAGCATCCTCAAAGAAAACCATGTCCATTCCAGTACCACGGATGTTCTCATTGTATGTTTGTAAAAACATATTTAAACGATTCCGTAGCTGATGAAAGGAGTAAATTGGCTCATAGATTTTGGGAATATCTAAATTAACTTCCTCCGATTTTTCACCTAGAACAAAAAGGAAGTAACAAAACCTTAGCAGTTTTAATGATTGACGAAGGCTCAATGTGGCGATAAGTAAGTGAAGGTATTAGAAGTCTCTTTAATCACCCAGAACTAGGTTTATTATACATAATATTACATATTAGATGTACATATGAGAACACTGCCTATACCCTGCGTATAAGGAACAGTAAATTCAGCTGCTTAATTCTCAAAGACAAAACCTGCAAAAACTAAGGACCCTTCTTTCTCTACATCTGAAACTTGAATGATGAAAAACTGAAATTAACTTAGGTGTTAGAAGCAAAAGTAGCACCAGAAAATGAAGATAAATAAATATCGCCATTAAAAATTGCAAATAATCTTTTTCTGTAAAAGAAAAACACTCTAAGTTGATTAAATCATTGCACTAGTGAAAAAAAAATTACTACTAAAATGAATAATTACCACAGCAATAAAAAAAGTATATTCACTGTGAAAAGGCATACATTTGTTTCATTGAGTGATCTGAAAGCCAGAAGGAATTGTCAACTCTTCCCCACCCAAAGGAAAGGAGGAAATAGTGCTGCTGTCTCATCTTTCCATTCATATGCATTAATCATGCTTAAAGGTGGCATGCCCTTCATTAGTAAGAATTGTTACTTGCAGCAAATAAAATCACAGAAGGGTTGAGGTTGGCGGGGACCTCTGGAGGTCATCTGGTCCAACCCCCCTGCTCAAGCAGGGCCACCTAGAGCCGGTTCCCCAAGACCGTGTCCAGATGGTTTATGAATATCTCCAAGGAGGGAGACTCCACAACCTCTCTGGGCAACCTGGACAAGTGCTTGGTCACCCTCACAGTAAAAAAGTGTTTCCTGATGTTCAGAGGGAACCTCCTGTGTTTCAGTTTGTGCCCATTGCCTCTGGGCCTGTGACTGGGCACCACTAAAAACAGTCCAGCTCTGTCTTCTTTGCACCCTCCCTTCAAGTATTTATACGTATTGAAGAGATCTCCCTGAGCCTTCTCTTCTCCAGGCTGAACAGTCCCAGCTCTCTCAGCCTTTCCTCATAGAAGAGTTCTTTAGTCATCTTTGTGGTGCTTCGTTGGACTCCCTCCAGTATGTCCATGTCTTTCTTGTACTGGGGAGCCCAGACCTGGACAAAGCACTCCAGGTGTGGCCTCACCACTGCTGAATAAAGGAGAAGGATCACCTCCCTCTACCTGCTGGCAACATTCCTTCTAATGGAGCCCAGAATGCCACTAGCCTTTTTTTTTCCTGCAAGGGCATATTGCTGGCTCATGTTCAACTTGCTGCCCACCAGCACCCCCAGATCCTTTTCTGCAAAGCTGCTTTCCAGATGGGTGGCCTCCAGTATATACTGGTGCATGGGATTTTTCCTCCTCAGGTGCAGGACTTTGCACTTCCCTTTGCTGAACCTTATGAGGTTCTTGTCAAGGTCCGTCTGGATGGCAGCACAACCCTCCGGCAGTTTTGTGTCATCTGGGAACTTGCTGAGGGTACACTCTACCCCATCATCCACATCACTAATGAAGATGTTGAAGACGACTGGACCCAGTATTGACCCCTGGGGCACACCACTAGTTACTGGCCTCCAGCTAGACTTTGTGCCATTGATCACCACCCGCTGGACTCAACCATTCAGCCAATTTTCAACCCATCTCAGTGCTCATCCAGCCCATATTTCATCAGCGAACAATTGACAAACTTAATTGGAAGAGTGCCAGCAAGCTGAGACCATGGGGTTTTTTGGTTGGTTCATTGATTGGTTTGGTTTTTCCTCAAAAAATAATAGTAGACACAGTAGAATTTTGCTTTTGTTTATGTACAGCTAGCTCCATTAGTTTCAAGATTTCATGATCTATATGCTGCAGGATATATTTTTCCAGTTACCATAGGTCAGTCATTACTAACAATTGGTTTTGCTAAGCCTCCTCTTACTTACCGAAGGAATACATTATTCACAACATTATCTCTAACTGGTGGAATTAAAATCAATTAAATAAATAATTCCAGTAAAATAAGTATTTCCCTAATGCTTAGTAAAGCACTGGAAGTCAGTGGAAAGGGAAGTAAAGGGGAGAAAAAAGCAATCAAACTGTATTGTATTTAGAATAGTATCTATAATATTTTTCTCAATTTAATTTTTTCTCCATTTCATTCTTACATATTTTGCTTTTACAAATTAGCAGTGGTCCAATAATCATGTAAATTTTCTAAGCCAAAAAAGGAAAAAAAAACAAACAAAAAAACCAAACCCCAAACATATATATATATAAAAACTAGTTTAAGGAAATTGCCTTTTACCACAGAACCAAACCTCTCAAAATAATGTGATGATTAATTCTCATTCAGCTGTCCTTTATATTGCATTCTGTATATGCCTGAAGTCACCTTAATTTCAGAATTTTTTAGCTCTGTATTGTTTCTGCATATGTGAACACTCCTTTAGATTAAGACCTAATTAAATTAACCGATTTCTTGTTTTAACCTGCAAAAACACTTGTTAAACAAAAGGACTATTCCAGGTGGAAATAAGTTTCTTACAAGTTGAATGAGACATTCAAACAACTCAGCTACTGATAAGGAACTAATAATGAATACAGCAAGGAGTTAAACTGTAGTGATGTTTTTACAGTTTCAAAACATTTAAGAGAATTATATCAGCTTAATCCTGTTCCTGCAGTTTTATTATTAAGGTGAAAAGACAGCATGATCAAGTACTAAACCTAAGAAAGGGCAGACATTTACATTTTTTACAGAGGCAGCTGGTGTAATATATTATTTTAAACTCTTCTCTAGTCTCAAGATTCAGAATCACAAGTACTAAATAGCATGTCAAAACTAACTGATAAAACCCACCTTTGAACAGTTTGAGGGTCTCAAGGACACTAGCACCGCTAACAATTTCTGTGAAGCTAAGATCTAAAAGTTGATGTTTGAGCTACTTCACCTCAAGTCTTCGTGTATTTATCTCAGGGACATATACGCTGTTACTATAAAACCCAAAGAGATACAGGAAGTTTATGTAAACGTATCACTAACCTGAGCATAGGGTTATTTGAAATTTATGTCAGATGTACTTTTTTATACATTTAAGAGCTCAGAAATCCAGTTCCTGTTCTTACACTTCCATCATAATGGGCAAGACTAAATTCCATTAACGGGACAATTAAAACAAAATCACACTTGTTATTCTTTTCACTTAAAGCCAAAATAGAAAGGGGTTCTCAAGGCTCTGACAAACATATTGAGGACAAAACATACCCTTTTGTAGGGTAAGAGGGCCTCCTACTTTGTATTTACATGAAGTTTCATGCTAAAAGGGGGACATTACAGGGCAGGTACATTTAAACTGTCACCAGGAAGCAAATTATTTTGAGAAATACATGCTTCTTTTTACATTTATTTTTCAGTTCAACATAATGGTTTCTAGTGTGGATTCAAATTTTCACATTGAAAGTCACACTTCACATTCTGAGTATACATTCTTACATATGACTTACATTTCAGTCCTCTCTATATTGCTGCAGTTTAGGAAGGTATTAAAGGATGTATTTGACTACTTTCTCACACCAGTTTGCTTTTTACTTCTATTTGATTCCTTCCAGTCAAACATTTCCTATCCTTTACTCTCCTTTTCTCACTGCCTTTTGACTACTTCAGTTATCCAAGAAGAGATTTAAATAGCATTTGAGCACTCATGCCAATCTTTTATTGCCTCCATTATCCATCATTACAGTGATACGAACACAGGTAATTGAATCATCCAATGATGACCTTCCCCAAAACACAAACAACTGTTTTCTGTTCTTTTGCATCAACTAATAAATATTCCCAGGTCATTTAGCAAGGTCAGTGACACAGTGTTTTATTTTAAAAGACACAAAGACACTGTTATAAGCCGTATGGATAATTCAAGAGGTTTTACTAGCATTCAGGAGATTTTGAAATAATACTCATTTGTTACAAAATCATGTACCAGGTATTTCCTAAGAAGTACTGGATTAGCCCAGAGCCAGTATTCTTTTACCGGGTTTCTAGGGGATGATAGCTAGAGCGCTATCCTTTATCTAGTACTGCAATCCCACCACTTCAAGTCATTCATACCACACTTCTTTCATCATTTTAGAATAATATAGACTCATGCTCACTATTTGGCAGTTTTGTCTATCTACCACATCGATGGAAATGGAAACAAGGCTCTTCTATACAGATAACCTGGATATAAATACAGACTTTAAAATCCCATTAATATAAAGATGTGCCACAATTGGTAACATAGACTATCTTCAAAGTCACCGGACAGAACAGCCACCCTTGATGCATAAACTTACTATGCATTTTTAAGACATATTTCTATTAGCATCTACTTTATCATATCCCCTTCCCTATTCTTGCCATCTCCATGGTTATCAGAGTCCATCTTTACCAGTTCTTTCAGGTGCATCCCTTAAGAAGTCAACAAAGAATGCATCAATTTCAGGATCCAGCAAAGCTTTTGTTTCTTCAAATCCCTCCTCAATGAGTTTTGCCACAGCTGCGTCAAACCAGTTTACATCTTTTGAGGTTGTGAAACGATCAGCAATAACACGCTTACATTCATGCTTCCACAATTTTATCAGTACCTATATAAAAAAAAAAAAAAATAATAAAAGTGCATTTCAGTCAGATTAGGCCTGCAACAAAGCTATGCCAATTTAAAAGCCATGCTTTTATTTATTTATTTATTTAAAAATCATATTAACACTAGAAAAGAAACAGTAGCATTTTGGGGTTTATTCAGGAGAGATACCTTGAGCTTCTCATTCTGCCCAATAGCATTTCAAGCTTACATTCAGTTAACTGTGCAAGAAGCCTTAATGTAGCATTCCAAACCGGAGCGTATTTACCAAATTAAGATTTTACTTCCCTAGCCCTAAAACCATATCCATACCTGGCCATTAAGGAGAAGGTGGGTGGAAATAACAGCATCATGGCATGAATAATTTCATGCCAAACACCGACGTCACTCCCAATACCAAATCCAAAGTACTTAGAGAAAAAAAATGTCTCAGTGTTTATATTATTCCTTCTCCAAATTCAATATACCTTTAAAGTCCTTCAGTTTGGTTATAGGATGGAGAAGGAAAACCTGACATGTTCTTAATCCTAGCAGCACCGGTTTTAATCCTACACTGTTACTACACAGTAGTAGAAAAAATTCCAAGTGCTCCTCGAAGACCTCTTGTTTGAGCCTACAGCACTTAATACAAATGACACATACTATGTCAAGTGCCAGAACTAACATGTAAATTTATACAATCAGATTTTGAGCAATTGTTTGTTATACTTCAAAAGACATTAATTGACAATATATATACATATAATCATCTTAGTGCTGTATATTTTTAGCTTCAGAAATTAAAATCAATTCAAAATTGGTGTTGTGCTAGTGTGTCTTAGAAAAATCTTTCATTTCAAAATTTAAATTTTAGATGTAGTAGAATTCAGGAGCTTATTCAACAAGTGGGGAAGTACATTAAACATGAAATGATTATATAACCCAAACGAATAAAAAATTTTCCATGATTACCATAAACATTGCTTTTCCAGCACTTCATGTTTCAGTGCTCAAAACACTAAATTACTTTTCTTTAAAATAATTAAAAGAGAAATTATGTATAAAGTATTGAGCTTTTCTGGAAGAAAAGTGGATTATGGAAAAAAAAAAATCACTATAACTCGCTACTACTTCCTCCTTTTAAGCCATAAGCCAGAAATCATTTGTTAGACAGACATCAGGCAGTGACTGAAAGCCTTAAAACACTAGTGGAGAGAGGGGAACTGTTTATTTTTTAAATCAATATATACGCATTTTCCTTGGGTTAAAATAAGTTCATTGCTCCTCATAATTTTCTTTGCTCGCTTCTTTCAAACAAACTAGCATTTGTCAGTAATAGAAGAACCAGATAGAAGCAAATGCTCTTCTGTCAGAAGAAGTGTTTTTGTTATAGTTATGAAACAAAGTTATCTTTTCAGTTGGCACTGTAAAAGCTAGACTAAAACATCTTTGCCTCAAAAAACACTGAAAAAATTTTTTAATCAGAAAATTATATTTTTCTAAAGCAAACTCAAATGCCAAGAAGTTAGAATATTCATCCTCTTTGCTGCACTAATTATACACTAATTATAACAAAGCCACTGATGTGCTGCACTTACCTTTGGTTCATTGATCACTTCTGATGTAGTGTTCAGCATTCCTTGCCAAATCCTTGAGAGGTCTCGAAGGTTGAAGACATAATGGAACTTGGCTGGTGTGGGCAACATTTTTAGCTTGGTAATCTGCCACAGCCTGCGTGTCAGTGGAACCAATTTGGCTACTGTTTTCTTCACATCTTCTGAAAATCCCCTCTCACTACAATAGTGCCCTTCTCCAATTACACCTGTGAAAAGAAAATTGCCAAATGAAAGATTTTTCTAAGACACACTAGCACAACGCCAAGAGCTACAATCTTCTTAAGTTTCTTTTTCTTTTTTTAATCCCCAAAACCTTTTCTAATTTGTTGAAATGGATTTCCAGTCTTTACTCAAATCTTGATTCACCTGGTCTTAACACCATTCTGCTACCAGCTCACTAGGTATTTAGCTCTTAACTAACTGTCCATTAAAAATGTTCTTTTGTCTACCAAAATAGCTTCCACAGTCTTTGAATAGCTAATCTCTTCTCTGAGCGCAATATGATCCTGTCATTTGTGAAAGTCTAGCCATTAGTCACTCATTCTTAGCACCAGTAGCACCTTAGCAACTCTCCAGCATTGTCACGAAAACTAGGAATGGCCTTCATGCCATTCCTCCTAACACTTAGCATATCAATAGATTCAGAGGTGTGATTGGACCTGAAAAACTTACAGATTGATGAAGTTGCATGTGGGCAGTGATTACTGAAGGAAAATGTGCTGGTAAGAAATCAGAGGGGGATTAAGCCTTAATTTTAATCACAATGTTTATAAATACAGGGATAAAGAAAAATCAACTACCATTTTCAAAAATGGGATGGATACAAAGCTAATTTCCCTTTACCAAAAATTTTGTCAATGGAAGAATTAGAAGGCAGAGTACAGTTGAACACAGAAAATTGTCTCTTGAGCCTCTGTGGAATGTCATTGCGACCTCCCCCAGGGTGGATCATGGCAGCCAAAAACTGAATGTCCACAATGTTGGTAAATTCACCAGGCTTTTCCAGGTTATACAGTCCATTCTGTTCCATCAGTTGCCTAACTATCTCATTAGTGACCTGTAAAATAACCAGATATTATGCAACAGAATATTATACACAGAACTAAATGAAATACAAAACATACTTATGTACTTGAAAGACCTAATAAAGAGTATACTATTATTTTCTCCCCCAAACTCCTGCTTATCTGCCTCAGGAGAAAAATGCACTGCTAGAAATAAGCATATTTAGATTGACCTTTTCATTAGTAATATCTGTGGACAAAAATCCTGGGAGTAGAAGGGAATCCCTAGCTTAGAATTAATCCTTCATATTTCAATTCATTCTCGCTTGATTGCTGCATGATTTCCAATACTGTTGCATTGGAAATACTTCTCCCTTTTTAACACAAAATTTCCAGTTTGTTCTAATCCAGCCCAAGCTGATGCATCTTCACATGTTGCATCTGCTACATCAATATTTTGATGAAATTTCCATGTGTAACAATCACAAACATGGTTTTTCAAGCTGCAAACATAGAATTACTTACATACAAAAGAATGCAAGATTCCTTTCCTTAGTCATAAATGAACCCCCTGCTTTTCTGTTTGACCAGTTGAAAACATTTCACAGACGGTACATTATACGATTGTACTTCTCCAGAAATTCTAGTTTCCAAAGCAATATAATTCAGAACCATCTTGCCAATGTACATAATGATTACTTCCACTTTTCCTAAAGCAGAGAAGTCACTTCTTGCCTCTCAGCATTCACAGTATTTTAATTATCATCCACACAGCCAGTTTGCTATTACAATTTGTGTGCCAAAGGGTTTTTTCTAACTTTTTAAAAATTTTTTTTTAATTAAAAAATGAGTGTTTGTAAAAAACATTGTTAAAATTATACAGGCATGTTTTAAGGAGTACTCGAACTGCTTCTTTGTAGTCAGTATATTTATTTTCAATTAATTCATGACAATATAAAACTAGATGGGTTCTTTAAGAAGACTATGTAAATTAAGCACTACATGTCAAATTTACTCCCTACTGCCTGATTGAGAAGAGAAGCCAGTCTTACAGTGTAGCAAGGAAAGAAAGAAAATACGTTTTGCCTTCTTTTTTCCTTTTTCACAAACTAACCTGATCTCCCCATTCATTTATTATGGGCATATTCACATCATCAATGAAGACTGTCATCTTTTTGCCTGCAGGCGGACCGTAAGTTGTGCCCATGCGCTTGTCCACATAACTTTCTATTGTACGCTGTTAAAAAGCAATTATTAGCATAGTTACAAAGAGCCCTTCCTTTCATACATGATTCAACTATTTAAACGTGTTGATGGTTTTGTTACACAGAATTTTACTAAGGAAGGTTTAGACAACACATCTGCTGGAGGTAATTGCACTAGTTCAACTAGAATGTCTGAAATCTCATGCTATACAGCATTAGGTTGGTATCAGATATAACAAATGCCTCGTGTAGACAACCACGCCTAACAGCTTCATAATTCTGAAACCATTTCAAACTTTTCTTTCATTTTTTCATTTATCAGCAAAATTGATAGTTACTAGCAATAAAGATTAAACTAATAATCTGTCAGATCTGAAAGATGTGATTCTTGAAGACCTTTCCAGAAGACATCAATGTACTTCATAAAAGCAATGATAATTAAATTCACATACATAAATAGACTTGATGAAATAACTTTGCTTAACAGTAGATTTACTATTACTTTTCTTCCCATCATCTTTCCATTGCTCCATCCTTCTAAAGGTCCAGTTTTATTTATTCTATATCAAGTGAAATCTCACTTTACTATGCATAGTTATTCTTCAGTGCAAATCTAAATATCTGCATTCTTACATTGTGCCTAGGCTCCTGTACAGCCTGGAAAGCCTTCTTACACAAATGGCATCAGTTAGACCAAGATTTTAGAAAGTCAGAGCAGTTTAAAAGCATGTGTCGTAACAGACAATGCTTTGGTCTAGACTGTTGTCAGAGATTTGGCTGTTAGACTTGCACATCTACTTCAGATGTCTTGATCATCAACAGACTATCATCTATCATCAATAAACTTGACATCTATTCTATAAAAATAAAGGTACTGACACTACTTTTTGTTTCTATAGCCCAATCAATAGAAGGAAAATACTAAGGAAAATAAGACCAAAATTACTTACTTGTATATTAAACATGTTAATAGTTTCTACTATGCTGTAGAGCCAGATGATAGATGATGCATCAAGCTTATAGACAGCACTTCTGATTACAGCACAGACAGTACTTCAGCTTGGTATACCAAACCACATTAAAAATATTTCCCATATATATTGCCAGCAGGTTAAAGAAACTTGAAGTAATTAAAATAGCTTAGTAGAAATTTGGACAGGCAGTACAGTTCAGGATTTAAGTATTCATAGTTCTATTTAGAGTAGCTGCATGGCTACGCATTTTTAATGAGTAATTTAATTTACTGAAATTTAAATTGAAGACAGCACACTTCTTATGACAGATTGTTGTGGGTAGCACTTATTTTACACATGGCTTTTAGTGAAATCTGAGGGAAGTCACTGTCAGCTCTACCCAATTAGTGAGAACTGATACATTTGACATAAGCACATTAAATGTGATGAAGCAAATAATATGCATGGTATTGTAATAATCCAAGAACAGCTCAATAACTACTGAAGAAGTTGAAGGGAACATGGTTTTTACAGAAGTCTTTTAAATCATGTGTTAGGACACTTAGTCCATTTGAGCAGGTGCTTTTTTGTTTCTACACTCATCTTCAATTAAATAAATCACTTTCAGAAGCATCATTCTGGCAAATTCTCAGAACAATCTCAGAATCCAGTCACGTTGTATTAGAAAGTGAATGACTACTATACCTGGAAAATTAATGGCGTAGTTGCAGATGAAAAATTCAAACTCTTAGTCATGTGGCTTTCCGGGTTATATTTTGACATAAAACCTTTGGTGATAACAGTCTTTGCAGTTCCTTGCTCTCCAATTAGTAGGACAGCCTAGACAAAGACAACATTGAAATAAGATGAAACACAAGAGCTGGGTGTCTTGGCAAAGCCTCAGCAATGCCATTTAGCTTTTAAACTGAAATGAAACTAGAACAGTTATGTAAAGTGAACTCTCAACAAGGGACATATGGAAGCAAAATAGTTAATGTCTCATAGACTTTTGCAGGCCTCACAAGTTAAAAATATTTGCAGTTAATGGTCATGTCAGTCAGCACGATTTAACTAACAAAGGAATGGATTGATAGTAAAAGGAGTTGATTATTTGAAAAAGGATGTACCGTTTAGAGCCTCAGTATCTGAAAGATTTCAATTGATGATGTTGTTTACCATATTCTGCTTATCTGACACAGTTTTGGTGAAGAATGGGTTGCATAACCTAAAGGTACATAAACCCTGTCACTGCCCCACTTGGGCAGAGTTCATATCAGCAGAGTCTGGCACTCTGCTGCCCTGTTTGCCTCCCCCTCTCCAACAGCTACATGAAAAAATTACTTCTGTTCTGACCTGATCTCAAGTAAAACCGTAATTACGGTTATTTCCACTACAGAAAGGATGGGTAAGGGGAAGGCAAAAAAGTCTGGAAGCAGTGAGTATTCAAGAGTTCAAGCATATTTACATGAATGTAAATGGAATCACCTGGAATCACCATTTTATGTTAAAAAAACGAAGTTCTTCCTTTTCAATAATATAATATTTCACTTCTAATTCAAAAACTTTATCATGTGTACTGTTAGCACTATTTAGATGTGAAATATAGAAAAAGTACCTTGCCCTGTTTCGCGATGGTTTCAATAAGGAAATCCATTCTCACATTGTCAACATTAGGCACAAGAATGGAGCCGTACTCTGGAGTGCTGCTACTGGGATATACATACTCTTCAACACATGTATTCCAATGCATCCATTTACCTAATAAGAAAGAAACAAAGTTAATGTTTTAGAAATACATCGTTGTTTCTTTTATTTTCCATTGAGTTGACTCGTCTGTCAGTGCCTTTGTCTCACATACAGTAATACCAGTCTGTAAAATCAGACCAAAATTATAGAATCATATAATCACAGAATCTCTCAAGTTGGATCTAAGAGGCTTACTACATAAATTATGACAAGGACAAGGCTTATCTATTTTTGTTCACTTGACAATTCATCGGCTCAAAGTCCATGCAGCTTTCTGTAGCAATATATCCACACTCTGATTTCTCACAGGAAACAGGGGAAAGCTTTATACAGCATTACCAGTAAAGTGTAGCTGTAAAACAAAACTTGCTAAGGAAGACAAAAGAAGGTAAGCTACAAAAACTTCTGAATTAATTCTCTAAAGAAGCACAATTTTAAAATTACTTTTAAGTTTTACCCCATACCACCCAGCTGGGTTACTAACCGTCAGATGCCACATAATAATCAAACATGGTATCTTCACTGCCTTCTGGGATACAGGGAAGATCAAGATTTATTGTTGCATGGTTTCGAAGCCAGTGCTCCATTTTGCATCTGTCTTCCAGTTCTAGTAATGCTCCTACACTCCACATAAGAGAGAAGATGTACAGCCTTTCCAAGTATTTTGGAGTCAATTCCCCTCCTTGCTCCTGAAGGATTGAGTTAGGTTTTTATTTTCAATAGCCTAAAAATTCTATTTGATAATCATTAGTAACACCAGGTTAAAAGCCTTCAGTCATGTTTAAATTTACTGACATCTTCGTCAACGTACAGACTGAATCAATATCAAGTAGGCCACAAAATATAGAAAAGCACCCTGTAAATATCACCCATTACAGCATTTGATCTGTTTAAGTTCTAGTTTATAATCTGATAACAATCCACCCAAAAAAACCTGAAGGAAAAATGCTGTCTCATGCATGCTACATGTCAGTGCTTGACATCAAATCCAAATGTGAAAGAGGGCACATCCTAGCTATTATTTTCTAAAGAAAAAGAAGGTATTCCTTACTAACCTGCATCTTCATTTATATTCCAAGTCATCAAAGAATCTCCTTTCTACATAACCTCATGACTTAAAATTATCTCCATTAGATTAAGTAAATATTAAAAAATCCACACTACTTTACCTTAGGTGGGATAAGGCCTTGCATCATATTAATGCTCTGCATAATCACAAAGGATTCCAACATCTCAGTCTTGCATTGCAGAGACTGAATGCTGAAGCGGTGTAAGTCTGGGAATGATGAAGAATACAGCTGACGTAAAATTTCAGCTTCTTGGAAGGAACGTCTTTTCAAAAATCCCTGTTACAAAGCACAGTGAGAAAATAAATTTTGTTCCCAATGCAAGTCTCAGTAAATTCAACTCTATTAATTCAACAGGTCTGGTGAGGATGGAAAGTTGATTTCTTTTTGGGGGGGCTCAGATTTCCTGTCTGTTGGGCAGGATTTGGCTAGCAGAAGGTCAAACTTTACCTAAGTATGCATAATTCCTACTGGATGTTAAACATGGATATTGAAGAAAAAAAACACTTTAAAATTTTCAACAGCATAAAAATCATTCTTTTCAAATATTTTTTAATCACAATGGCTGTTGAAGGTATACAACAACTCTGCAAAGAAAGAATATCACGTGTACTGAACACAAGTTTGATTTATTCTGTACGTTAGTTTCTAGCAGTGATACAGGGTACCCCAGAAACATCTGGCAGTTGCAGAAAAAAAGTTAGGATTTCAGGAGGGGATGTCTGCTGGTGTGTGTAGCATTTTTATTGTGCATATCAGTATCTGTAATGCTGGATAAACAAAAACTAATTAAAACTACCTATTTTTCAAGATCATAGAACAAGATTTGTTCTTTGATGCCTTTATCTCAAAGTAGTAACCTGCTTCGAGTTACCCAGAAGCTTTCTCTCATATATGTGGCAGACTGCTTCTCATTTACTTCCCATGAATTTATTTCCTAATAAAATACACTTATCAGCAAAAACACTTGCAGATTCTTCCCCAAAATTCAAACTAAAATTTGGCACAAATTGAAATCAAATAAATTCAATTTAAACATAAGAAAAAACTTTTTGCTGTTTTTGTGAGGGTGGTCAAACACTGGAAGAGGCTTCTCAATGAGCTTCTTGGAGTCTCCATCTCAAAACTCAACAGGACACAGTCCTGAGCAACCTACTCTAGTTGACTCTGCTTTGAGTGAGGCGAGTTCAACTACACGAACTCCAGAGGTCCCTTCCAACTTCAGCTATTTTGTGCTTCTGTGATCCTTTTTTACATTTCTATCTTCATAATCTTTTGAAGCTCTATCTTTTACTGCCCAAAGTAAATAAACTCTGGGACTGATTACAAATAGGTAGATATATGAAAAAGCTTTCTAGAATCAGATAGGTGGAAAACAAAGTGCTAAAGATTAAATGGCAGAACCACTTAAAATAGATATCTGGAACTTCACCAGCTGTTCAGAAAATATTAGGGGTAAGTAGAAAAGTTGGTAAAATGTTTTTGCTTTGGAGGAGGTTGATGAGTAATGGATCAAATACCTTTGATCACTTTGCAAAAGCTGCTTAAGAAGCATGTTAGACAAGAACAGCAATATGAAAAGTTTGAGATCTATTTCACTGAATTTGGAAATTGCTTATGTCATCCCAATAGGCTGCTATATTTAGTTGCTTATAAACTGTAAGGATGGGAAATCTAAATATATACAACAACTTCCTGAGCTATTCGTATTTGTTTTTAATTATTTTTCAAGGTTCTTCTGAAATATCAACAAATACTATGTTTCATTCAGCATCTGAGAATTAGGAACTAAAGAAAGAAAATTCCATTTAATTCTATTACAAAAGTAAGGAAATTCTCTAGTGAACAATGCGAGATTAACATCTACCCTGATCTGCTGGAATATGTAGTATATTGCACTACAAAATAGATTTAAAAGGAGATGTGCTGAAAGAGCCATCAAGATATTTTATTTATGAAGTAAAACCAAACCAAACAAAAAACAAATAAATGCTATTGGCTCAAATGATAAGTAACTATAGGTTGTAATTTTATAGCCAATTTTGGGGGGGGAGAGGAAGGGAGGTTGGAAGGGTTGTTTCATGGCTGAAATGAAGGTAATTTGTTTTGTGTTATCCAAAACCAAACCAAACCAAAACAAAAAAACATGTTGTTCTTTTCCTTTTGACTGTTGCTACCACCAAAATAAATTAAAAGCATAAGGTCATGGATTAAGTGAAACTACTTCCATGCAACACTTACTTCAACACAACTAAATTTAGTCTGCATATCACTAAAGTGAGGAGGTAAATCATGACTGATAAAGCAAAATAAAATGCTCTTCTTTGGTTTTGCTGTCTTTGCAGCTGAATCTAAGCTCAATTTAAACTGAAACGTTCAAGAAGTTGTCTGCAAATTAACCAATGCAAGGAGGCAAAGCTGTGAGAACCTAACATCAGTAGGCCCTATGCAGTGCTATAAGTACAGAAAGGAACAACACAAGTGGAATCTCATGGGAGCCACTGTCCTATATGCATAATATATACTTACGCTTTCCCAAGTATCCATATTAGTTTAAAAAAAAAAAAGTAAAGCCTTGCAGTAATAGACATAAGGCACTTGTGTTGACTGCATGGATTTGTATTGGTAAAACTTCAATAACAGCCAAATTTTTAGGGAACTTATTAAACACTTTTTTTTTTCCTAACAGGAACGCAAACATTTTGGACTTGGCAAAGAAACCCATCAAATGAATTAGTGATGATTCTCAAGTGTTACTAAGTAGCTGTGGTTGAACAGCCAGCTCCATATGATTTAGTATCATTCTAAAAGGGAGAGGCTCTAAGCCCTATTAGAGAAATATGCTAACAACCCTCACAAGCAGCAAACCTCCATAGGCAACATATCACAGCACATGGGTGCCTCCATCACAGGAGGGAGTCTCTGATGACAATCACACTCCTTTTCCTCTTAATTTGTTGAGGCTAAGCTGGGTTCTGATGCTTCCCCTAGTGGATCTTGTTGCTCCTCACCTATCCTCAGGGCATTACACCTGACCTGCCATTTCAGATCTGCAGGTGGAAAAGAAACCTCGCTTCTGTTGCCAGAAATCACAAGTTTACAGCCTTCCTCATCTTGGGAGTTTCTGTTCACCAAAGCTTTGAATGTGGTCTCTCACTCACTCTCCATTACAGGGCTAGGGATCTTGAGTCTGCAGTGTCTCTGCAAAGATCCTGCTGATCTGGTTATCTTCCCTGAAGGCACACAAGTCTTCTCATCCCTTCCCACAGCTCCTTCACGTGATAACTCCATGCCCAGGGCACACTTCCCCTGGGGCGGCTCCACTGTCTCCAGCCCCAGGAAGAGGCACCAGGCACTGCCTGCCACTCAGGGCTTGGACAGCAGCGTACTGTCTCTCTCTTGATTTCCGTCTGTGCTGAAACCTCTAATACGCTAAGGACAGTTGTTCTAGGCAGTGCCACAGACCATGCCCCATGGTATGTCAACTTTTTTTCCATTGCCAGACAAATCAGGGATTTATGGACAAGGAATCTGGTTATAAACAAGCAAGCTATATAAGACTTACAAGCTTGAGAAGCTTTATGGATTAAAACAATAAGAAATCTGCAAATAATACAGAGTAATCATTACAAAAGGCTTCCTCAACTACTAACATCTGAAAGTTAATATGAAGCCAATTGTATTTTCATCTGGCTAGTTAAGCAACACTGTCTACATGAGCACTAGTCGTATTTTCCACAGGTGTTCTACTTGATTTGGAAGGTGAAATGAGTGAATGAGACTGTGAAACATTCATTTTAAAAATTATTAAAAAAACTTGTTCATGTGATACTTTCTAGAAAGGAGGACAGTAAAATTCAGTCTGTCAGCTCATAGTAACCTGTGAAGTTTTGTTCTTTTAAGTCTGCAAACAAGGCGGTAAATATGCTACAAGGGCCTGCATGATGTTGTAATTTCATAAACAGGAATACTAAATTATTCCTAGCTTAAAATTAAAGTTTAAAGCCCATATAAAGGAATGTTAATTTGGGATTATACAGAAGAAAGGTATATTAACTTGGTTTTCAGGAGAAGGTAATAAAGTAATTCTCTCTATGATCACAGGAATCAGTGTCTTAGTCACAAGGAAGAAAGTTTTAGGTTTTGATACTCATGAGACAGTCTATGTTTCATCAAAGAAAAATAACATCAACAAAATATTCTCAGTAAGACCCACTAGACAAGAAAAAAATAAAGAGAAAATAAATGAATATTTCTTCTAATTTAATTTTTTTTAAAGTGTTAATTCTGAGAAGCCTACTTCACCAATATATTTCTAAGGCAATACAGGGCTTAAGAACAAAAAAAAAAAAAAAAATCTGAGACCAACTTTTTTTTACTGCTATTTTCTCCACTGTTTTCTTAAAGGGAAGAAAACTGGAATTAAATGTTGAAAGTTTTGTTGAACGATATTACTACGGAGCATTAGGTAGATTTGTGAGAACTCATATTTCAACTTTACCAAGATATTTGCTACATGAAAAAACCCATAGTATGCTCAAGTCTTTAAATGTATCCTTCACTATATTATTACCAGCATTCAGTCAAGATGAGGATTTTTTTTTTTCTGGTTTTTGGAAGATGGAAGATGACGTATACAAAAAAAACCTCACTTTATAAATCACTTTGAAATCTGAATATGTTGTATGCTGTTATTCCCTCCAAAGCACACCTATAACATGTTCTGTTTTTGTAAACGATTCATTCCATGCCAGAGAGAGAGCAACCACTACTTGGTTCTTCAGACATTTTGCTTCTAGAAATGTTAACAGACAACTTAACCAGGTAGGAACATCAATTTAAAAATTACATACTTTGATGCTGCATTGACTTTATTTCTGGTTCTAAATCCCAGCTGCAATTAATTTTAAGAAATATCAAGAAAACTTATATTTTCTTCCTGAATCAGCCTGTTTACTCTTTCTTCTTCCTTGGTCTGAAGCTGTACTAGGGGCTGCCAGGTAGTTGGTATTTTGACAACCGAGTTGTTCTTCAATTGCATAAAATACCTTAAATTACAAATTTGTTCCAAAGTGAAATATCCATGTTTTTAAAAGCGTAATATGTTGACTATGTTCCTGAAAAAAATACATTATTCACTTTTGTATAAACTACCAGAAACATTGCTATATTAAATACTGACCTGTAAGTTTATACAGTGTAAAAGCTATTTCATAGCAAAGGTCACAAAATTAGGTCCTAAAGTAACAACAGTGAAGTGTTGAATAAGTAACCAGTAAAACTTTCAATACATAAACATTCACTTAGCTACCGTACCTCAAGGATAGGGCTCCAGTTGAGAACTGATGAGCTCATGAATACCATCCCATTCCTTGAAACTGTTGCTGGAGAAGCATTATCAATATTATGAGGTTCAAAGACTATTTTGCAATTTGGTGCCATAGGTATCCGATCTCCGTTTGCTAGTGTTAGAGTTCTGTTATCATCCAGGACAGAATTAAGGTTCTCAATCCAAATAGCATCAACTGGACCATCAAGAACTATCCAGATGTGGTCACCTATAATCCAAAATAACAGATAAAAATGCCTGTGGAGGAAGTTCTAGTTTCTTTCAAGGACCAGTTTCTTCTCTCCACAAACAAATTTTGAACTAATTCTGAATTCATGCAAACAGCTAGAATCTCAGCTTTTAATACAATTACCATTTCCATTACTCAATTTCAATTAAGTACTTGATTTCATCACATATTGATAATAATTATCCATTGCTCAGTATATAAAGTGTCATCAGCGTAAGTCATGTTTGTAATAGTCTGAAACAGTTTTATGGATCCAGTCTTCAACACAGTAATAAATTAGGTTTATTTCAACTTACATAAGACAACATAAAGAAGATAGGAACTATAGATCTGTTTAAAACCACCATTCATTTGTTTCCAAAGGGTTTGTGTAAATGTAGTGAGATTAAATGAAAGGAACACTTGAAAAATCAGTCTCTCAATTAGCTTGCTCACTTTCATAAGTAAAAGAGGTCCATTAGGGGAAGATTCTTGTTGTTCATTCTCCTGCTTGTAAACTTGATCCAGTTCTCCTTGAAGTTTTTCCAGGTCTTTCCATTTAGTAACAGAAATGTATCTTAAAGCCTGCCTCTGTTTCCTAGGAGGGCTTGGGTCTGTCCTGCTCACCTCACCTGAGCAAGAGGCCCTGGCTGGAAAGGGATCCCCCCTTGGCTTCTGGCTTCCCGTCCCTTAGGGAGTAGCCAGCCCTGCTGTGCATTGCTGGATGGCTCTTAATTCAGAGACGGTTCCACTCTCATCTGCCTTCTGAGTGAATCCTCACTGTCTAGGCATAGGTGGCTTGGTGCGTTGCTAGGTGTGAACCAAGAAGGTTCCGGATAAGAAACTTTTTCACCTCTAAGGCAAATAATTTTATATTTAGAGGCTTTTCATAGCTACAGGGCAGGCATCTCAGGCATGAGATGGTCTCGAGTTCACTTCATAAAGAGACATTACAGAAGTGTTGCAAACAGTGAATCTGAGGAAGTCATGTGAGTGTGCTAATTTATATTTCATGTTGAGGGAAAAAATAGAAAAATCAACAGTTAATGCTATGCTACATTCTCAAGGGTGCTACATTTCTAGATTTGAAACAAAACCAACAAAATTAAATCCAAAAGTATTTTCTATTTGTATCCTTAAAGACTAAGAATTTTTGCCTGAAAATTGACAGTGCAACAAATGTTAGGATTTTTTTTTTTTTCCCCTTTAATCCTTAAAGCCTAATGATAAGGTCACATACTAATATTCATACAAAATAAGGAAGAATCCGTCTAGCATCAAACTATCAAGGCCTCTCCTTTAGTTAATATAGCAGTCTAAGAATATATGCCAGCATTATTTTAGCAGAAACTAGTTGCCTAAATAGAATTATCTAGTGCCATTTGAGATGGACTATGGTATGTGCAGGGCTAGCAGGTATGACACAAAGGACATTCACACCCTTCTAGTACGGCAGCTGGAGACCAGGTAGAAATTCTGACAGCACCAAAATTTCTTATCGTATACCAGTGTTGGGGGAACTGACTCTTACCTTCCACTTTTCTTCCATACAAGGGCCTATCATTTGAAAGAGAGGGATCAGCAAGTTCAGTGAAACAGTATTTGCTACACTACACAGTTTGAACACAAAGCGTTTAGAACAGAGGCTATACAATAGACAGAAGTTCTTGCAGCAATACTCCAATGCTTCCAAGTAAAAAAAGAAAGAAAAAAAAAAAGTCTGCTAATGTGCTTTAGAGAGATGCCTTGCAGCTTGTTTTGTTTTTGTAGGAAATTGTTTTTCATCATACCTTTCTTGGCTCTTAAAGTTTTTCTCCAGAGTGTTGAAAATATTCCATCTGTCCAGTCATTTGTTGCCACATCGAGACGACCAAACATTTGTGGAGCAGTTATAGCTTTAGGATTCATTCTCATTTCACGATGTGGCTGTCCACAATCTATGAAGGCAGATCATCAGTTAGTTTTGGTATTTCTTTTCAACAGAGAACTTTGACAAATTCAAAATCATTACATCTAAATGTAAGGTTTAATATGCATTCACCATTATAAGAAGTTGTGTATTTACTTGGAAAACTTATCTCTTGCTATATATCAATATTTGTTAATTGGAGCCACCAAAATTTGAAGTAGAACAAAGTTCTGAAACTTTTGAAAGTACAATTCACATTTCATAAATTCATCGGAAACAGAAGAGCAGCAAGATGAAATTTATTCAAGGTTTAGTTTAATATTTTGAAGGCTTATCAAGCAATAGAACTTTAAAGCCTTTGGTTTGGATGCACTTTTTTAAAACCCAATGACTAAATACCAGACAGATGCTCCACATGATTGATTGTTTTTTGGTTTTCCCTGTTATGCACTTGCATGCACCTTGGAATAGGCAAAGTATATATTGGCATATCTCTGTGAAGTCTCTTAGGCAGCTAAATTCTATCAAGCCATACCATGACCATATAACCTTTACATTTTCCTCATTAACAACAGCTTAAAAACTCCTATGCCAGACATCTTTAGAAAAGCCAAATTTAAAACTTAATCAGGATTCAGTAATAAGATGTTGAAAGAAAGAGCTAAAAAAATTACTTATCTTAAAATCTTAATTATAATCAGAGTTCCCTAACATGTAAGATAGAAGCCTGGCAAATCAGGTAGTTTTACATTTCATGAGGTTATGCCAGAAGATCAGCTTGAAAAAAGGATTGTGGTGGCTTTATCTTGGTAGTAGTTCACATCTCAGTGCTACAAAAATATAGGAAAATAGTATAATGCAACTATCTGTTCTTTCTGCTTTTTTTCCTAAATGGAACAGGCATTTACACTGCGATGTAGAGCTTACAGTGTTTCTTAAGCACACTAAGGTACTGCATGGATGAGAGACTGGCTGAACAATTTTTTACAGAAACTATCCATTTCTGGAAAATTGTATAAGCAGCCTACTGAAGCCTGTGAAATGGGGTAACACAAGCTTACCTCAAAAGAGATGTTTTTTCTCCCCCAGCTATGAGCTTTTAGTTTAGTAAGATCAAACAGAAGTTCTTCCACTAATATTTTTAGAAATACAGAGGACAAAACACACACTCCTCAAGCGTCCAGCCAGGACACAAAATGAATATCCTTGAAGACTTTGTCACTGCCTAAACCAGGAACTACCTCCTAGCAGCAAAAAATGATAAAGTAGTTATTTTATACTACAGATAAAGACCCTGTCTTATGAATTGTGTTCAAAAAGGACTAAATACTTATGATTAGGGGAAGGTTTCAGTATTACCTCAGCCAAACCTGGGAGATGCTTTAATCACTTGTCTGAGCTGTCTACCCAGACAATACTCCTCTTTCTCAATGTTTCTAGAATAAGAACTTCTGATATAAGTATCATAATATGGAAAATAGGATACGTATTCTATTATATGACTTTGAATGTCAGACATTTTTAAGCTTTTAAAAGATACTACCACAAGAATTAGTATCACAACACACAAACTGATTCTTCCAGTAATTTATTCTCACGATGAAGTAATTGAGGCTTTCTATGAAGAAACAATGTGATTTAAAGTTTACAATGTAACAGCTTAATAACAGTTTACAATATAAATACTCACATACCTGTCATGGCTTTCATCAAAGTGTGGATGCAAACAGTTTTTCCTGCACCACTAGGTCCTAGTGTCATCAATCCATGCCTTACTCTCTGGGTTTCAAAAAGTTGGATAACTTTCAGTTTCCAAGGAGGATGACAAACAAGTCCAGCTTCCTCCACCTACAGATTGTGACAGAAAACCAAATCACTACTATTTTAGTGCACAAGATATTTTGATGCTTGGGGGGCAGGGGGGAGGCAGAAATAAATCTATCTTCAGCACGAGACTACACTCTTGGTAAAGGTTTTTTGTATATAAAAAACTGTTTGGAAAATGAAGGGATATTTGGTATTCAAATAATGTATTCAGAAAAATAAAAGAAGATAAACCATCTCTTTTTTTTTTTAACTGTTCTTAGGGTTAAAACATCATTTTAAGGAAAAGAAAAGAATTTTAGAAACACTTTTGCTAGCTATGTCTTTCATAGCCACACAGCGTTTTCACTTGCCTCTCAGAACAGTTGCCTTTTGATGATGATGATGACTCGTGTTTCTAAATGCTTACAATAGCCAAAAGTTTTTCTGCAAAGCATTTTGTTAAATATTTCTCAATGTACAGACAGACATTTAAGTAACTTCTTAATATCATCCTTCTAAGAAAAGACATGATGTTTTAGAATCAAATATCATATGATTGTTTACTACTTTTTACTAGTTCCAAGCTTAAAGAAGTTATCTCACTATAATGGTATTGCTATTGCTTGTGAAAGTGACCCAGCTGGAAGTGAACAAGAAAGTTTTTAGCCAGTAGAGAAATGCTAGAACTATTTCTTAAGGATTCATATCACACTACATGTTTTTGACAGTCAAAAAATTTTCTAAAAACTCAAGATCATGTTATAAAAGTGAAGCTCTGAAAATAACAATTATATTTTAATTCAAGTATATTTTAATTCAAGTATAATTATGTTCCACAAAAAAATCTCAGAAAATATTATCAGTAAAAAGAGGACTAACTTTTTACTGGTAAGATAAAACTCAGCTTTTACAATTACTGTCACATAGTCAGTTAGAACCATGGAACTGGCACTACCACTTGCTATGTTACTCGCATATCAAAGCTCATGTCAGTTCAACTTATTTATCTTGCTCTGCAAGGAAGGCAAGAACAGAGGGCAGCACAAGATTAATTCATCAACAGCAACCATGAAGTATATGCTGCCACCAACTCCTCATCACCATGAACAACACCACTGTTGAAGCAATGGAGTTTGCAAAGAACAAGAAAGACATCTGATGCACCATTTTCATGGATACACGATAAAATTCCGTTATCATTCACATCTTAACAGCTCTCACAGTTGACACCAAACCAGTCAAGCTTCCTTTCTTTCCAGTATAGAATATAGCCTTCTGATTTGTTTCCAGAGTCGACATATATTCAGTAATATATCCAAAATCTAATGATGCATCAGCAGAACATATCTGAACTGATTTCTTTCTTAACATAAAACAAGATGGTCATGTTAGCTATTCCTTCACCCTAATTCAATGCCATTAGTGGAGACTTAATCTTTTCTTAACAATTTCTAACATTCATGGATTCTGTAATAATCTTGTAAACTAGATATTTCCCTTATCGAAAAAGAAGTATGTTCACAAGCAACATGTTGACATGTTGTCTAAAGATCCGTTAACAGTTGTACATATGTACTGGGTCTGGTTGGGATGGAGTTAATTTTCTTCGTAGTAGCCCATACAGTGCCATGGTTTAGATTTGTGATCAAACAGTGTTGATAACACACCAGTGTTTTGGCTATTGCTGAACTGTTTCTCACACTGCCATGTCAGCAAGTAGGCTGGGGGTAGGCAGGAGGTTGGGAGGGAACACAGCTGGGACAGCTGACTCCGACTGACGAAAGGGATATTCCATACCATATGACATCATGCTCAGCAATAAAACTGGGGGAAAGTTTCTCCAAAGTAGCCATTGCTCAGAGACTGGCTGGTGGTGAGCAATTGCTTTTGCCTCACTTGTTTCTTTTTCTTCTTCGTTTATTAAAGTGTCTCAATCTAGACCCATGAGCTTTTTTTCCCCTCTCTTTTCCCCTTCCAAATCTCTCCCCCAACCCGCTGGGGTAAAGTGAGCAAATGACTGGGTGTTGGCTTTGCCGCCAGCTGGGGTCAACCCACCACAACATATAAACATAGACCACCACTTTAATTCAAGTAACAACTATTTCTTCATTATAATATTTTCCCAACAATTCCTGCCTCCCTTCCCTAATAAAAATAGTCCTTTTGAACTTGATTATGTGCCAACCTAGCTGTTTTCATTCTACTGAGTCATTATAGCTCTGAAAACACAGCAAAGAGCTCCATTCAATAAAAGCTTGATTCACTTCCAAGACAAACAAGATGGCCTACCATTTCTGGTTTCTCCAGATTTTAAGTTTTAACAATATGAGAAAAATATGCCAAAATAAGGTAAAAAAATTTCCAAACACTGTCATAGCACTAAAATGGTACCATGAGATCTCCCGATCTGAACTTTTGATAAATTTTGTTTTACGTAAGATAATCACAGTGCCTAAAGCTCTTCAAATTTCCAACACTGCCTCAGTATGGGCTGACATTACACCCTACTTACAAGCAAGTGATAATGGTTTGTTGTTAAAAGGGTTGACACTTTCTATGTCTGGCTTCACAGATCACCACAGTAGAGCTATGAAGACCATGTTATTAAGACCTCTTTTTCATTTATTAGGAAATGACAATTTAAAGCATGAGATTCAAGTTCTTTATAGTTTCTCCTAATAAAAGCTTAATTTGTGAGTCCTTTTTTAAAGCCAGCTGTATCAACTACAGAAAGCAAAACAGTTTTATAAACATTAGCTGATGATTCAACTCTTCCTTGTTAAGAAAGCCAGAAGCAGACCTCTTTACTTGTATCTAATCATATTAAATATAAGTAAATGAAAAGTCATATACTCAAATTCTTCAGAAATGTTGTTCTGATTTTCAATTTTTTCATGTTGGGGTTTTTTGACGGGTTGAGTTTTTTATTTCTCTGTTTAACTATTAGATAGTTATCTGAGGAATTATTGAAATTCTGGAGGAAAGTTTAATAGAGGTGATCATTTAAGTGTACATACTTCATTAACCTTCTATATCCTGTTGAAATGTTCCAAAAGATCTAATGGGAGAGGAAATGTCATTTTAGGTAAATCTTTTCTCACTGTGATGGTGCATTCCTCCCTCCCTCCTGGGCCTCTCCCAGGTCTCAGAAACTCCCGTTAAACCTCGGCCTTGGTGTAATGAGTCAGGCGGTGAAGCGTCCCTTTACTATATCAGGAACTCTTGCATAGCTGAGGTTGGGGAATGTACTGATCGTACCAGAAACTTCCGCTGCCTGGCCCAAGTGGAGGACAAGAGGGGGGATAATTGTCATTCCCTGATACCCTTATGTGAGTTGTAGCTCAAGGGGAACGATATTATTGTTACTGAAACCTTGAGAGTTTTGATGGATGACTGAAGTCAATCATCTTGCGACCCTACAAACATCGGTCCCAAGTGAGACCCTCTGAGGTCTCCTGGACCGCAGCGGACTGTGCCCAGAATCTCCCTCTGAGTGGGACGCCTCTCAGAGTTTGCAAACTCTTGAGTCTGCGATATTCAGAGGACCGTCACCAGCTGGCACAGGACCTGGGCTGCAACACTCTTCGAAGATCAACCCTCTCCCATTGAGAAATGCCAAGACATTTTACGTGAGTATTTCACTGAACTCGAGGGGGTTTTTTACAAATATATCTTTGTATATTTATCTATCTTTGTATCCGTGTGCACGTGTGTGCGAATTGATGGAAGTACCTGCTAGCAAATATAGTCTGATAAAATCTTATGATCTATCTTAAGATTGTAAATGAACCTTAGACTGCTGCTAAACACATATAATCCCTTAGATAGATACCGTTGACGAAGTCTGGGACTAGGGGTAGATCTAGCCAGGTCTACTCTGAATCTCATGACTCAACAGGAGGGTCTCCTTACCCTTTTTGTATTAGACATAAACCGTTGTCCAAGTCTGAGATTAAGATTGGATCCAGCTGGGTCTTCTCTGAACCTTGTGACTCAACAGGAGGGTCTCCCTTAACCTTTTTGTCCTCGGCCTCTGCATAAATCATTCCAACTCAATTCTAACACGATACCCAGGTTTCGGCTGGGATAGAGTTCATTTTCTTGCTAATAGCTGGTATAGTGCTGTGTTTTGGATTTAGTATGAGAATAAGGTTGATAACACACTGATGTTTTAGTTGTTGCTAAGTAGTGTTTACACTAGTCAAGGACTCCTCAGTTTCCCATGCTCTTTTCCTTTGTACGCTTCATCCACGTAGTAAGTGAACCTTGCCATCGAACTCTGTTAAGTCGCGCTTTTATAAATTTCTGTTAAAATCACTTTCTGCTAATACCATCAACAGTGATTCTTTGAGCGGCCTCTAAACCACTCATTCGCGACACTCACGCTCATGTTCCAATTGTTAGACTTCATACAAATATTAAATCCTGGGTCACAGAAGGCAAGCATATATACATACATTTTTCAAAGTGGTCACAAATGACTGACAAGAAAACCACAGGACACCACAATCACAATTCAGTGACATCCTTAAGAATAAGGTTAATAATAATATGCCAATAGTAAAGATTTATGGAAAAGCTTACTCTTCCTCTAAATAGTAAAACATATTATTACCAGCTGGGTAGATTCAACACCAATAATTTTCTTAGATGTCACATCATGATAGTTATGCCACAGCAGCACAGATCAAGAGAAACATTACCCGTTTGTCAATGGCGGCTTCCAGTTCAGGATAGCCTATTTTATCAAGCCGGATATCTGGAAACAGATCTTCAATTAGACTCAGGAATAAGGGTTCATCTTCATCAATCTAGTGAAAATCAGGGGGGAAAAAACCCCACAGGTTAAAACCTATTTTATTTATTCTAGCATATTAAAAAACAATCCCTAACTCTTGTAGAGCTAAAGAAATATTTGAAAACATAAGGAACCATCTATGGTAACCTTCTAGGTGTTAAACACTCTAGCAGGACACAGCAGAAGGAGAACATGTGATGCTTCCAATAATCAAAAGTTATTGAAAATAGATCACTAACATACAGACTGAATTTATTAAAGTAAATTTTAGCAATAACATTTATACAAATTGTAAATTATTTGTCTAAGGTGTAAAAAAGCTAATAAAGGAGATGAAGTATCACAGCAACAGAAGAGGGTTTTTTCGCCATTTAAGACAGAGGGGATGGTACTCATTACTACAATAACAGATTATTTCAAAAGAGTGACTAAACATTTTAAGTCAAAGGTTTTAAAGAGGTTACTACATAGACTTCTATTTGGTCACTTATTTCTATAGGTAGCAGGGGAAATATGTAAAAACAATTCTGAACAATTCAAGGTGTTGTGGTTTAACCCAGGTAGGCAGCCAAGCACCACACAGCCCCTCGCTCACTCCCTCCCCTGCCCCATACAAGGTACTACGAAGAAAATTAACTATCTCAGCCAAAACCAGTGCCGAAAACCATCCAGAGAATGGAACGTTTCCAAGCTAGCTTCAGTGTAAGGGCCACATCCAATCTTCTAGTGATCATCTTAACAGATTTAAATTGTATTAAAAAAAAAAAAAAACCCACATAGCTCCGAAGTGCAGTTTAATTAATTTACCAGGCCCTCGGAACTTACCAGTTTAGACAGGTTCATGTCTCTCAGCACACGCATTACAATGGTAGATTCAGTATCTGTGGGATTTGCTCTTTTTGCCGCTCCTAATGTACGTAGCACTGATAATATATTCCGCAAGCCAAAATCATAATGCACCTAGAAGATATGCAAAGTTTGGAAAAATTTTCCCCAAGTTAACGGGGATGAAACAATTCTTATTTATCATTTAAAATATGGATGTGTATGAGGAGTGGTACATATGGCACAAACGCCTCCTAACATCCAACAACTAGTCTTTGACTGTATGACTATGGACGACTTCATTCCCCACCTCTGCTACCATCTACTAAACTGTAAGGTGTGACAGAAAAAAGAAATGCAATCACAAGTCTTTGAACCAAGATAAGGTTCCCAAGGAATATTAAGAAATAAACTAGCAGTATTCTTTTGAATTCTCTGTGGACCTTGGAAACTATCTTTATTTGAGAAACATCTAAACAAGCACAGGGAGTACAAACCAAATGCCCCTCAATCCACTCTATAAGACCAACTAATACATAAGCCCTTTATTTGCCTTAATCATGACCATTCATTAAAGTTAAATCTTAATAATAAGAAGTGTTCTGAATGACAGTCCCATTCTTGTACAGATAACCTGTAGCAGGAGTTAATCCTCCAGGACAGCAGAGGGTTGCGCTACTAAACTGCAAGTGTCATTTAGCTTACTTGGTGAACATAAACTTCTCCATTTTCTTCACATAGATACTAATAATTTGTGACATCATATATAGTTTTTCCTCAAGATAATTTTTCCTCATATGAAAATATTCACCTGCTTTGACAGTTGTTCTTCACACAGCTTGTACAATGTAAAGAATTTCCTTGCCAATACAACATTAGCAATGAAACCACAACTAGCCAATTTGACACGAATTATGATTTGACGATCAGGAACCATCATAGCCACTGAACGGAAGTTGATCTTCAAGTTTTCAGGAAGTTCTTGCCGTCCAGCATATCCTGGATTCTGGAGAGAAGAACAGGTTTTGAAGTTGACTGCACCTTGCACAAACAGAAGAATGAGCAAAGGAACATGTAATCTGGTTAGAACAAAAGAGCTTTTTTGCTTTAGATCACATGTAAAAATGAATCGCCATGCAGATTTACCACCACATCTCTACAGCATTTTAGCCTCTCTTACGTCCATGAGGTATGAAAAACGTTCTACCTAAACACTTCAAATCTGTATTTGTCTTATAGGTCCTGTTTCTACTGGCTAATTCTACCTATATCTCTATGGCCATTTTTACGTATTTGTAGCAAAAAACATACTTTAGGAACCAGAATGTAGCATGCAGAAGTAATCTGATATTGAGATAACAACTTGTATTTACAATGCTGGCTGCATTTGTTAATTTCATGTGCTTGATGTCATTGAAACAAGACCCTGTAAACTGTCTTTGTAGTAACGCTCAATGTTTTCAAACTGTCAGTGAGTTCTAAGAGCTCAGTGACATAAGAGTTAGCAAGTACATTTAACATACCAGATTAGAAGCGATTATTGTACAATCATCATTGGCATATTAGAAACCTATAGAATACCTACCATAGTAAGAAAGATGCCAAATTCTGGGTTCATTTCCACATTATCTCCATCAGTAAAAATAAAGCTTTTTTTACGTTCCTTCTTACATGTCAACACAATTGCAATTTGCTGTGCAGCTACTGATAGTACTGGTAAATCAATACGATTGAATTCATCAAAGCAACCCCAAGAGCCAGACTGAGCAAGACCTTCAAAGAGAAAAGCAAGTAAGCATCTGACCATTATGTTGTTAACCCTTTTTTTGGTGCAATTCATAAGCCAAAAATCAGGTTAATCTACCTCAGGAAAAAAAAAAAATGTTTATTCTAAAGGGTCGGGAAAGGGACAAGGAGAAGAGTTTAATTCTTTTTCAAGCAAGAATGCACAAAGTTCCAAAAGTCTTCAGGTTTGTCTAGGATACTACATCCTTCAATTTCTCTCCTTCTCTCAGTATCTTGAATGTTTTGCTGTTCCTCCCTACCCATCAAAAAAAAAAATCCCTGCAACAAGTCTATGAAAATATGATGGGTTGTCAATAGCTTATTGCACAGATTAAAATGAACAATAAAGTTGCTTTCACTTGGAAAGAAGTTAGGGGTCCATCTGTGCCAGAACTGCATTCTTCCTTGGATATTTTGGGGAAAACAAAACAAAACAAAAAATAATCAACACAGTCACTTGCAACAATACAATAGTCAAGGACCTCCACTTGATCTCTAATTCGATATCTGCCATGACTGACAGGTATCAATTTCAGGTGCCTAAAAAAAACCGTCATCTGCATCTAACTTCAGTGAGCTGTGCCAATTGTTTTTAACATATATAGCACTATTCATGCACTTTCTTCAACTGATAAGAACTTTGATATTTGAAGGAGACAAAATACTGAAATCAGAATCCAACACGTTCCACCAGTTCAGCAATAAATTTCACAGCTTTCTCTTTTTGTACTGGCAGTCCTCCTTGATCATTTAAGTATCTTTATGTATCCTTTCATAAACTGAGTTATGTTTTCAGACATTTCTCTTTCTTGGAGACAGTGTTGCAAGTGTATTTTACATTCATAACAAGATATTAATTACCTGCATTTATTAAAAGGCTGAAAACCACCTGCTGATTATGTGTTGACCCTGTTTTATAAAGATGTTCTCTTAGCATTTGTAACTTTCACATAGTCCATAAAATCATATAATCACAGAATATCCTGAGTTGTAAAGGACCTCTCCATCATTTACCAGCAGTCCTGGTTAACAGGAGAGGTCCCGGATGACTGGAGGCTAGTCAATGTGACGCCCATCTACAAGAAGGGCCGGAAGGAGGATCCAGGGAACTACAGGCCGGTCAGCCTGACCTCGGTGCCAGGGAAGATTATGGAGCCGTTCGTTTTGAGGGCACTCACAAGTCATGTCCGGGACAATGTCCATGACAGGGCATCAGGCCCAGCCAGCACGGGTTCATGGAAGGCAGGTCCTGCTTGACCAACCTGATCTCCTTCTATGACCAGGTGACCCGCCTCGTGGATGAGGGAAAGGCTGTGGATGTGGTCTACCTGGACTTCAGCAAAGTCTTTGACACTGTCTCCCACGGCATTCTCCTTCTCTCACGACTTAGACAGGTACACTCTTTGC